GAGGAACACAGAACTAGCACGTACTGTCACACATCATAACATCTTGAACAATCTAGTTGAGACGACCGATTGGGAATTCTTGAAAGCAGGCTCGCCTGACAATGCGTGGATTCCGCCAGTGTTACATATCCACATCCCTAGCCCCAACTTCATCATTCACTACCATCGATTTTGCTGATACAGCTGTGTTGAAGAAGCTGCTCTCACTACGTATCTACAGCTCTCCCGGGATCGATTATATTCACCCGACGGCGCTGAACGTAGCAGCAATAACGCTGACCGGGCCATTATCGTATTTCTTCCAAACGTGCTTGGATAAGCAACTTGTGCCTACCATGTGGAAACATGCCTTAATTACTCCAATTTTCAAGAACGGTAATCGCTCGGAACCCGCCAACTATCGCTCAGTGGTCTTGTTCCCTGTACTATCAAATGTTATGGAGCCAATCATCGCTGAGGCTTTAGTAGACTATGTAGAACGCCACGAGCAACACGGTTTCCGCCAGCACCGTTCATGCACTACCAACCTACTGATTGCACGCAGTAGTTGGACGGAAGCAGCCGATGAGGGCAGAGAGACAGACGTCATCTGCTTCAACTTTTCCAAAGCCCTCGACCGACTGGACGACGGCATACTGCTTCGCAGGCTCGAAAGCTATGAAGTTGGTGATCCTGTCCTTGGGTGGATCAGGAATATTTTGCAGGATCGACAACTTCAGGTCAGAGTTCGAAGTGCGCTGTCCGATCCGATTTACGTCGAATATGGAGTTCCACAAGGATCAATGCTAGGGCCGCGTCTGTTTCTCGTGTTCATTAATGAGCTTATGCTTTTGATTGCCTCAGATTCCTTGCTGTTCGCTGATGATGTTAAGCTGTGGCGGACGATCGCCGACCCAGCAGACCATGATGAACTTCAGCGAGACCTGTACAGTGCGTATGAGGGGTCACTCCACAATCTGCTCCAGTTTAATTCGGGGAAGTGTAAGGTGGTTCGCATTCGCCACCAGCCGAACACCACATACAAGCTTGGAGACCATGTGCTGCAAGCAGTCACCTTTGGGATACTGGGCTGCTCAGAACAATCTGCGTAAGTGTTAACAACTGGGAACCAACAAGTTGTCATGCTGCAGAGAGCATTCGGGCGGTTTGATCCCTCTGTCTGTTCGGCGTTGCTTAAAACCTACGCCCGGCCTCATGTGGAATACGCAATCCAGGCCTGGCAACCCTGGCACAAGCAGGACCTTGCAACGCTCGAGACCCCACAGCGACGAGCCACGGAGCACGTCAAAGGGTTGTTTAATCTTCCATGTCAACTTAGACTGAGGACCGTAAAATTATGGAGCGACCGGTATCGGCGCCTGCGTAGTGACCTTATAACCTACCAGGTTCTAAGGAACCCCATGCACGTCTGCCGCCACCTACTACAACTGAGCCACACTACGAACTCGTGGGGCCACCATTTCAAGTTATCCACACCATACAGTCAGCTAGAATGTCGACAGAACTTTTGCTCTCTTCTTGTGTGCTAGCCACAGAATGCCCTCCCAAATTACATCGTTTCCGCCCCACTTTACCTGAGTTTAAAAAACGCCGATGTTGCTCTAACCCGCCTACACTACGAGATATAGCTTGTGTGTCTCGACAGTCGATGTAATTCGACTTAAGTTACACAACCGGAATTAACCTACATCACTGATGTTGGCCCTTTCTGCATGCGTCTGTGTTAACACTGTGTTGAGTTCATCAAAACGATTTCATTTTATCACTGTTTTCTATTCATCCTGTTGTGATTCTCTTTCTGGCCATCCTACACGATTGTTCAGCGTCTGGTTTTTTTTGCCCGTCGTCATCATCATTCATTATACACGTCAGCTAGAGGTGGGAAACACCTCAGCTACTGTGCCGTAATACATAAAAGAAAAAGGAAAATAAATACAAAAGTTGCATGCCAGCTGAGCTACCAGCAACGGTGAGGCATCGTTCCGGTAAGCTACCAGCCGGCTACTAGGCAAAAAGAAAAAGTATTATGTTTTATGTTACGCAATGTGCCCGTGGGTGGTGTAGGAGGCTAAAAGGGATGGGGAGGGACAAAGAAACTCACAGCAGAAACGCCACTGTGGTCGGCTCCTTGCCATGTAGGCAAGTGTATCCAGCCAAACGTGTTCACCGTCTTTTGGACCCCAACCAGGGAACCGTGACGCTCCAACCGATGCCAGCTCAGAATTGACGTCCTTTATTCCTCTGGACCAAGTCATCACTTGGCCACCCCTCCTCTTCTTTCATCCACATCCCCGGTAAACAAACAACACACGTCGTGGAAGTCGATGGGCTCGCGTGCGCAACACGTGGCCCAGCCATCGGAGCCTGGTGCGGGAAATAACGGTGCTGAGCGGTTCAGTTCCTTTTTCTGGACCGTAAACAAGGCGTCGAACACGCTCGTTACTCACGCGGTATTCCCACAAAATGTGAACCAAACTGCGAATGCACCGATGGTCGAACGTAACTAGCCTCTTCATATCCACCGGTCCTAGGGGCCAGGTTTCGCAACCGTACAGTAGGGTCGAACTTACCGCTGCATTGTACACTCTACCCTTCAGGGCAAGAGTGATGTTGCGCCGGCGCCATAAGTGGCGAAGGTTAGCAAAAGCGCCTCTAGCTTTTGCTATACGATTCGTGATTTCATCTTCAATCCCACGGGCGCTGATACAACTTCCCAGGTAGTTGAATTTTCGAACGACTTCTAGCTGACCCCCACCAAGGGTCAACGCAGGAGGCGATGTCTGCCAATCTTGGAGGAACGCTTTGCATTTCGATGATGCAAAGCAAAGCCCGAAGCGGCTGACAGCCAGTGCTAATCAGTCCAGCGCGGCTTGGCACGTCTGGGAGCTGTCACAGATGAGGGCAATGTCGTCTGCATACTCCAAGTCAAGAAGTCGTTCTCCTGGGAGTAGCTCCACACCTTCTAAGGCGTGTCCTGCAAATGCAATCTCCATGACTTTGTCAATAGCGAAGTTGAAGAGGAAAGGTGACAGCGGGCATCCTTGTCTCTCACCGCTGGCGATATCTTAGGGTGGCGACCGCTTTTCGTAAGCCCTCACTCTGCCCGTGCTATGCGCGTTTATTTTTACCCGTACTATACTTATTCCATTATACCATTGAACTTAGTTGCGCTTCTGGTTAGTGTTAATAAAGCTCTTTTTATAGAAATTCCGTCTGGTTGTTGATGGATCGGCATGAACACTTTTCGACAGTCTTACATCTATCGACTCTGTCTGGCTGTTTACCATCAACGGTGCATATAGTACTTACACTGTCACCAAGACCGGCATTATCCGTGACGTTTTAAGCAAGAATACTCTGATCAGGAGTATGATAGTCTTCCCAATCGAAGTCTATGATATATTAGCTTGGCAGTGTTCCAGGTGTCAACCAATGGATATTTGCTTTCAGATGTGTTTAAAGTGTATGTGGGCGATGCGTTACTCGGGTAGGCAATATAAATGGGTGCTGAGTGGTGGTATACGTCCAAACATCGGGCCGCACTTTGCGTGTGTACGGAACATTTAGTCATCGCAGTATCTGGTCATCTCGTTCTCTGGCTAGCTGATGGAATGGTCTAGATCGACCTTAGGGATCTTGATACTGGACAAGTGCGCGTGCCTATCGCATCGTGTCATTCCACAAGTAGGCGTTCTACTTCAGTTGGCGTATCCGTTGTTGTCTCTGGAGCATGCTTTGGATTTAGTGCACTAGCTAATTTCCTTAGAATATTTTGTATGGTACTCGTCTAAAGTGTTTTTGAATTCTGGTGGTTGTGGTGTGAAGCTAACAAGACTACTAGAACCTAATTTCTCACCGGGTGGGTGAAATGTGACCTGTCCTTGTCGAATTCGTACTTGCGAAGGCGTCTTCTCACTTTCCATACCATGGCTCGTGAAGGTGCAATTACTTGCTAGTCGATCATTTATTAATACATTCATTAGCGGTTGGCACATCGTCAAACTGAAAGAGGACCGTGCAGCTATAACCCTGAATCCTCTTTATAGTCGTATGCAAAGCCACTGGGCACAGTCTATGCTGCCATCCTTATGCAACTTGCTTCCTAGGTATACGAGTGGCATTTGCGTCGGTCTCCTTAAAGTCAACCGCGCTTCTTGAGCAACCCAATCTGGTGGATACTTCCGCAGTGAACATCTCAATAAGCATGACAACAGGCAAATATTTCTATACATTCAGTTTGGTCTGTGCTTCTTTTCTGGTATTTCGTGGATACAGCTTATCTGGATGCCATCAGCGTATGTACTTCTGACTTCTAGCGGAGCCAACTCCTCTTCCTTTACTTGCAGTCCTGTTAACACACCGTACAGCTGATCATTTTGAGCAATCAAGCAGCTCTTCGGTGCAGTCAGTTTCTTGCAGTTTTCTTGTTTTTTTGGAACAGCCCATTTTTCAACACTATCACACATTGTGTGATCGGTATTTTAGTCAGTCGGATCTCATAGTCGTACATAGTTGATGACAGACGATACAATCCAGATTTATATCGCATGTCAGAAAAAGATGAGGTGGTAAAATCAGGAGGATACTGCTGGCTGTCAACTTCGACGTGACGAAAATTCAATGACAACCGACTGCCTTATTTATAAAACTGTATGTGAAATATACTTTGTTATGTATTAACGGTCGTAGCGTGAGTTTACTTCCTCTAAATGTTTTCAACCGGATACATTAACACGATGCTTGACAAATGATCAGTGCCCCTTCCCTATGGTGTTTCTTTACGTTGTCCAATACATGCCGCGTATATTGGCGGGTGTGTGCCTTCTCAATGGTTCTAGCTTGAATGTATTTTTGGCTCAGGTGGAGCTTTTCTACTTTAACCACGCCCATGAAAATTTCACCTTTCGTTTTTGGATATATATATATATATATATATGCATATATATGCTTGAGTGCGTTAATACCATATGTTGACACTGCTCTCCTCCCACTTTTGACAGAAACACCAGACTCAAGTCAACGTCATACGCGCTCGCTTACAGAGCCAACACTACGCAGACGCAACAAGCCAAACAGTATGCTGCGATCCAAGACGTTCACATGCAATCAGGAAGCTAATTCGGAGCCGCAGCTTCATATCGCTGATGTTGTCCGGGCAGTTCGTCAAAAAACCCGGACAAATTTATGGACAGGTTTTAGTGAGTGCACACTTTCACTCATACGATCACTTTAGTTTCCCCATTGATAACTTCATCACTTGTTCATTTTATCCGTAACGGTGTAACTCACATCAAGTCGCGCCACTGATCGTGCTTTGTTTCTCAGGGGAATTGCTCTGTTTCACTAACTCACTCCGTAGATTATTAGTGACACACAGAAGGAAGTGTAGCAGGCTGCTTAGTTCCCGTGATCCATTGTCATCATCATCGCTACACGTTAGCTGAAGACAAGAGAAACACACTTCGGCTAATGTGCCGCAATGCAGAAGGATATGACATATGCAAAAAGCGAGATACAACACGTTACGGACTTTAGTGTAAAAGCCAAAAAAGTAATTTAATGCTTGGTAACCATACTTTGCATCGTATGTGAGAAAGTTGGAGGAGTATGGATCATTGTTCTAATTTGTGTGTACCTACTTCCTATCGGCTGTTTGAACAAGTAGTACCGACGATTTCTTTTGCCAAAGTTCGTTCTTCAGAGGCAAGCGTTTATTCGGCAAAGTGAATTCAAAGAATACTGCTTACAGACCAGACCAGCCAGGTCCCTGCGTCATCCGCCTCATACTATGGGTAGTCGAAGGCCCTCCTCTGTCAAAGCTCAGCCCTAGGTGGAATCAGAGTCCAGTCTTAGTTCACTTCTTTTGGCGTAGGATAACGGGTTACATTCTATCTCTGACAATGGTTAAGCGCATTTGTCTACTTGTTTCTGCCACTCAGCTGAGTAAACCAGGCCCTACGGTTAACTGTAACGAACTGTATCAAGTTTCCGATGGTCTTAAAATACTTATTCAATGCGGATATCTTTGAGGCTGTGTACAACCAACCCTCGTTAGATATCATTTTGAGTCTACAGTCCTACTCCTGAGTTGGATGTGCTGCCCTTTGCTCGTGGGCCAGCTTGTTCGATCAAAACCTGAACGTAGGGCACCCCTGATTAACTTCCTCTTTTTGTATGGACAGCTGGTGAATATTTCTGCCCGCATAACGTCATCCATAATCTTTCGTTTTCTTCTGGTTTTCTCGTACATTCTTTTAGTGCTTACCAGCAAGAATCCATTAGTTATTTCAGCAGCCCCACTGTCAGTGAAGTCAGGCAATATCGGAAACAAGGGTGCTGCTCCACATAGGACATCGTCACACTGTGCCTGATCAGTGAACAGCCGATGCTCGCAACCACTTAAATCTCCATCCTAGGTCGTGTCCTTTGTCTCCGAGACACGCATACAGGATAGCGTCTTAATTCTTCCATACTCACCAGACTTCAGTTCGAATTTTAGGGCTTGTACACACACACACACACACATATATATATATATATATATATATATATATATATATATATGGTTGGCGGCATCCGGTTTCGGATTTGCCTTTCAATGTGGCCAGCCACAGGAGGCCTGCGCCTACAGAGGGACAATGGGTGGCTTGCGCTGCACCACCCACAGCTCCAACTACGCACCACATAACCAATGCAAACCCGATGGAATGAGACCGGGAGGCATGCGGATGGGAACCACGTTTCATCAACGGAGCCGGCCCACACTCCTTCACAGGTAAACACAAGCACGCTGTATTTGGGGAATCAAGCGCACACAAGGCGGTGGCTGGACCGTAGTCCGCTCCACACTGAGTGCATGGAACCACTCTTCAAGCCTAACACGGCCACAAGGACCGTGCACCCCGTCCCCTCCAGCAACGACCAACTATCTTCTAGAGACAGTATGGACGAGGTAGTGGGTGATAGACAGGAAGACACCTTGTCAACATGCACATCAAGCGCAGTCACACCGGGGATACCAAACAACAGCCAATCACTTGAGAGAGATATACAAAGAGAATAACTCGATTAATGCATAAGCAATCAGTGACATAAACCTTAGGTTAATGAGCATATAAAATAAGTTGTTAACAAAGTATCCGAGATAAGTTCACGGGGTCAGAAAGTATACTTTACGGGAATGCTACGAACACATACATGTTATGGAAATCGAACACAATTGGCTTAAGCGAGGTGTGCAAGTTAATGGAAGAGAGTAAAGGTAGACATTTATATGAGAAAGAAAAGCATTTAGGAAAAATTGAAAACCCACCACCTGAAATAAAGAGACTTAGCATGCAAGCACGCGGTTAGTAAATCGAATGCAGCGTACCTACAAACGCTGCGCCGGTTCTGCCTACGTTCTCTGCAGAACCCGTCGTCGCTTCGGTAGTGGTTCCGAGTGGCCTCGCTCATGGCTCACTAAGCTTGCCTGACTCAGGCACTCTAGACCGCATGTGCTACAGCACCATGCGCTTGATGTCGATGGAGAACAACCCACCGGTGCTTGCCGCTTCCGCACTTACCGCTTCTTCTCTGCATGCATGAGGGCTTTCTCCTGCACCTCGGCAACTGCCTTCGTGATTAGATCGCGCCATGCACGCCGATCAACCGCCTTCGATTCCCATGATCTACCATCAAGATTAGAACGTGAGAGGCTCACTTTAATCATGTCCTGGTAACGTAACTTTGGTTTCCCAGCATGCCGCTTCCCTATACTCAGCTGACCATATAATAGTTGCTTCCGTATCCTGGTCTACTCCATACGTCTTACAGGACCGATCCACCTCAGGTGTCGGCAAACGTATGCAGTAAACTGCATACATTCCACTTTGTCGCAAAACTTCCGTGTCTGCAACTCTGTCGCCCCTCCGTTGCGCAGAATCCACCTCAAGCGCTGTTAATGGAGCTGCTCGAGATATCGCACATTCCGCAGGTACATCGTCCACGTTTCATTGCCGTATAGAAGAACGGACAACACCATGGATTTGTACACCGTCAGCTTCGTGCCAATGGTAAGCTAATGGTTGTTCCACACTTGGTACTCAAGCTTCCCGAATGCCGCCGCTGCCATCGAGACGAGGATTTGCAGTTCACTGGGTAGCTGCTGATCGGTCGACATCACACTCCCAAGATAGCTGAAGCGGGAGGTGGTTTTCAATATTTCAGCACCAATGCCGATTCGCGGCAATATTGAAGATTGCACCTCCGGTGAAGGCTGAAAGAGACAGTCAGTTTTGCTTGTGTTGATGATGAGCCCGAATTCGGCCGGTGTCGAAGCCAGAGCACTAGTCATGTGCTGCAACTCATCCGCGCTGTGTGAAAACAACGCACAGTCGTCAGCAAACAGCAACATACGGATAGTTGTCTCACAAACTAGAGTTCTCGCACCGAAACGACGGATGTTCAGCAACCCGCCATCAATACGGTGCTCCGCACGAACACCGTAAGCACAAGCGGCATCAAAAGCACAAGACATTACATGATGATAAATATTAAACAGGGCAGGAGCTAAGACACAGCCTTGCTTCACACCAGAGACAACTGCAAAGTCATCCAAGGTCTCTCCACTCAGCTGCACCCTCGCTCGCATACCACTGTGCAGACATTCAATTAAACTTACAAATTTACTCGGGCAATCAAACTTACCCAACACCAGCCACAATGCCTCGCGGTTCACCGTATCAAATGCCTTGGTGAAATCAACAAAAAGCGAGTACAGTGGCTGGTGTCCTTCTCTACACTTCTCTTGCAACTGACAAACCGCAAACACCATAACTATAGTGTTGCGAACCGAACGGAATCCACATTGCTCTTCCGCCATGTTAGCTTGCACAACCTGACTGACAAAGCGGTTGAGCAGGATTCGGGCAATCACCTTGCCCACACGACTCAGCAAGTTGATGTCACGATAATTCGTGCAACATTGCTTTCTACCTTTGCCCTTATACTGTGGTAGCACAAGGGCATCTTTCAGCTCAGGAGGCACCTCCTCCTTAATCCATATGCGTTGCACCAAGTGGTGCAGCGCAGTCAACAACGCGGGTCCGCCGTGTTTTATTACTTCAGGCGCGATCCTGTCCGCACCGGCACACTTGCCGTTTTGCAGCTGAGCAAGTGACCTCTGCGATTCATCCGGTGTCATCGTGTCCACCAGACTCGCCTTCACATCGTGCTGCTTGGGGCCGTTCAATGTACGCCAGTCGATATTTGAACGGTTGTACAAGATTCAGTCAAAGAATTTTGCCAGATCTGCATAATGTCTGCAGTCTGCGTGCAGGTAGCGCCTGAATTACCATCGATCAGCGTCCTCGGCGACTCCAATCTCGGTCATACACCGCCTTCAAGGAATCAAATAATTCCTTGTGTTGACACTGTTCGGCGTAACATTCCATCTGCTTCGCCTTCTCCGTCCACCATGCGATTTTTATGCGACGGAGCTCTCGAGTCAGTCGTCGTCGAAGTTTGCGAAACTGACTCTTCTTCCTCAAGCCAATGGGGTCTTCAACATGTGCTGCAAATGCTGCATTTGTTCTCGACACCAACGTGCCAGTCGTCGCATTGTTGTCATCAAACCAATCAGGCCGCTTACAGTTTGCGCATCCGATGTTCTCCTCGGCAGCAACTGTCACCTGGTCGCGAATGTGATGCCACAAGTCACCCACTGTGGCTATGCAGTCCACATCACACAGGCGTGCAGACATCGCCTTATCCAGCTCAGTACGTTTCGTCCCAGTACCGAGGGAGAGAATGTTGCATTTACGCTGATTCACGGTGGGAGTGCAACACATAGATTTATGAAAATATATGTACAGTTTGGTCCTCACCAACTTCTGATCAGTGCCACACTCAGCTCCACGCAGTACACGTGTCATGCGCACTTCAAGCATATCACGCTGTCGTACGATGACATAGTCGAGCAGGTGAGCGTGACCACTCCGTGGGTGCGTCCAAGTTGCTATATCACTCGCACTCAGTGCAAACCGAATGTTCGTGATCGTCAGGCCGTCAGTGGCACACAGTGAGAGCAGCCTGTCACCGTTCGCATTAGCTGAACTAATGCCATGCGCACCGATAACATCTGTCCACACCGATGCATCTCGCCCAACGCGCGCGTTGAAATCACCCAGCAGAAATAGTCGGTCGCGCCTCGGCACAG